ATGTCTCCATCAATGGACTCCCATGTAGTCGACCGCGGTTCTAGTCCTGGACGCGGTGGCTTAAACTCAGTCTGGGCGCCTGTGTGTGCATGCCCAGGATCCTGAGAGGAGAATGGAGAAGAAGGGATTGCAGTGTGGCCATCCCCCCTGGGGGGTGATTTCTCCTTTTCTATCTCTGTTTCTCTCTGTCTCTGGCAAGCGTATGCGCCCTATAGCAAAAAAATAAAAAAAAAAAAAAGAAAAGAAAATCATGCCAGGGGTTTGTGCATGCATGCCCAAAATCCTGGGAGGAGAATGGAGGAGAAGGATTTGTGGTGTGGCCATCCCCCCGGGGTAATTTCTCACTTCCTTCTCACTTTCTTTTGTGAGCGAGCACTCACGCTCTAAGGCAAAAACCTCTTAAAATAAAAAACGTTAGCAGGGCTAGACAGTGACATGGCAGGAAAGCCACTGGACCCACGTGGGAAAAGTCCTGGGACCCATGAGTGTGCCAGGCGCGCCCATGTGGCTGTGATCCCCGTGGCTGGAACGGGGAGGGGATGGGGGCCTGGACGTGAACACTCTGGGTGCCTGCCTCTGTGCTCTCTACATCTTTCTCTTTTTTATGGTAGAAATTAGTAAACTTGAAAAAGAAGCTCATGAGCCAGCCAGTGGCATGGTGGTTAGGACAGCTGGGTCCCACTTCAAGCCATACCTGGTAGCTTGAGGAATGTGGCAGGTACATGTGCATGCATACTCAAAATACTGAGGAGAGTGGAGGAGAAGGGATTGCGGTGTGGACATTCCCCTTGGAGAGTCCTCTCTCACTTTCCTGCTTCTTTCTGTCTCTGGCAAGCGCACACACCCTGGGGCAAAACTTAAGAAAAAAAAAACAGATTTAAAATGATTGAAATTATACAAAGTATGTGTTCTTGTTATTATACTATCTGGAATGCTCCTAAATATTTGGAAATAATTTCGTAAATAACCCGTGCATCTCAGAGGAAACTAGGAAGTTAGAGAGTATTTTGAATTGAATGAGAATGCAAACATAATGTCAGAAGTAAGAGGATAAAAAGATTTATGTGATGCAGTACTTGGATGAGCACTTATAAACTGAAATAATAAGAAAGGTTCTAAGCTTCTACCCTCAGAAACTGGGAAAGAAAAGCAAATTAAGTTCAAAGCAAACAGAGGAAGATAATAAAGAGTAAGACTCAATGAGATCAGCAGCAAGATAGAGAAAACAAGCCAAGACCTGGTTCTTTAAGGAGATCGATAAAAGCAACTTCTAGTAAGACTAAAAAAAAAAAGTAAAAGAAAGACACAAATATAAAACAGGTGGGGCCAGTAGGTGTGTGGTGACTGGTTCAAGTACTGGACCTGGCTGCTTGCTTTCTCACTTCCTCTCTGGTGAGCGCATGTGCCCTGTAACAAATTAAACAATAATAAATAAAATGAAGTAAATGGTTCTTTTTTTGGGGGGGTGGGGAAACAGGAATCAAACTGGGACCATCACTGCGGACTCCATAGACAGTAAAAGGGTGATAGTAAGGTGAGATTACAAACCACTGCATGCCTAGAAATTGGACAGCTTAGGTGAAATGGGCCCGTTTTTTGAAAGACAAATCACCAACGCTTACTTTATTTTTATTTATTTATTTATTTATTTTTTGGAGAGATTTTCACTATAGGGCGCGTGCGCTTGCCAGACAGAGAGAGACATAGAGACAGAAAGAGAGAAGTCACCCCCCAGGGGGGATGATCACGCCGCAATCCCTTCTCCTCCATTCTCCTCTCAGGATCTTGGGCATGCACACACACGCGCCCGGCGTGAGTTTTAAGCCACCGGGTCCGGGACGCGAACCACGGTCAACTACGTGGAAGTCCAGCGACATAGCCATTACGCTAACTGCTGGTTCCCAGCTACGCTTACTTTAAAAAGTGCTTCTTAACCACGGCCACTTGCCTTCCAGGTTAAGGCAGGTTCCTCCTACAGATTGAAGAAGAAACATCCCTAATTTATTTTACATATTTTAGTGTCTGCATTATCTCGATATACAAATCAGGAAAAGACATTAGAAGAGAAGAAGCAAAGGGATCAGCAGTTAGCGTAATGGCTATGTCACTGGACTCCCATGTAGTTGACCGTGGTTCGTGTCCCAGACCCGGTGGCTTAAAACTCACGCTGGGCACGTGTGCGTGCATGCCCAAGATCCCAAGAGGAGAATGGAGGAGAAGGGATTGTGGCGTGGCCATCTCCCCTGGGGGATGATTTCTAGCTTTCTGTCTCTCTGTCTTGGTCTGTCTGGCGAGCGCACGCGCCCTATAGAAAAAACCTCTCCAAAAAAAAAACCTTATAGAAAAACACTCCAAAAAAAAAAAAAAAAAAAACTAAAAAAAAAAAAAAAAGCAAATACACCAGCATTTCTCAACAATATACAGGAAAATTTTCAGCAACATACTAGCAAATAAAATCTGGAAATCTTTCTAAAGTTTAATACATCATGGGATCACCAGCATAATGACTATGTCGCTGGACTCCCCATGGCTGATTGCAGTTTGAGTCCTGGACCTGGTGACTTGAAACTCACACCGGCTACATGTGCGTGCGTACCCGAAATCCCGAGGAAAAGGGATTGCAGTGTGGCCATCCTCCCTGAGGGGTGATTTCTTGCTTTCCGATTCTCTGTCTCTCCAGCAAGTGCACAAGCCAAATATTAAAAATCTCTAAAAGGTGGGGACAGGAGGGGAGTGGCAGATAGTGTGGCGGTTTAAGGGCGCTGGAATCCCACGTGGCTGACTGGATCAAGTCCTAGACCTGGTGGTTCGCTTTCTCACTTTTTCACCTTCTCTCGCTCTGATCAAACTGGAAAATAGTAATAAAGTTTGGTAAAAATAATTCTTTAAAAAATGAAGTCGTAGTTAGGAGGAAATGCCATAGGACACCAAGTAGAGTGGCTGATAAAGAAAGTGACAGCACAGAGCTGTAGCCCGAGTAAAGAAGCAGCAGCCGGGAGTCTAGCTGCTTTGAAATGTCTCCTGAGCACTTCCACTCAGGTGTTCGTCCAAGAGAGCTTAAGCTGTTTTATTTCCATACAAGAACCAGTACATTATTACTGGTTGATTCGTAACTGCTAAGACCTGGGGACAACCCAGAGACCCTGGTGAACAGGTTGACAGATCAGGTACGTCTGTATGATGATACACTGCTTGGCAGTGAGAATGAACGTGCCGAGGAATCTCAGAAGCGTGAGGCCGAATGAAAGAAACAAACTCAGCGCTGTCTCATGCTACACGCATGACCTAGAAAAGCAAAAAGTAATAGTGAAGAGTGTATTCTGTGGTTGCCAGAAGTTGGGGTGGGAACAGGGGTGACTGCAGAAAGGTTTGAGGGAATGTTTTGAGGTGATGGGATTTTTGCATTTTTAAGTTTCTTTCCACAAGAGGGAAACTACTGAAAGTGATGAAAGAACAGCTGTTTCGTTAAGCTTTCTTCTTTTTTTTTTTTTTGGAGGGGTTTTTGCTAGAGGGCGCGTGCGCTCGTCAGAAAGACAGAGAGACAGAAAGTGAGAAATCACCCCCCAGAGGGGATGGTCACGCCACAGTCCCTTCTCCTCCTTTCTCCTCTTGGGATCTTGGGCACGCACACACATGCGCCCGGTGTGAGTTTAACCCACCGGGTCGGGAACTTGAACTGCGGTCGACTACATGGGAGTCCAGCAACATAGCCATTACGCTAACTGCTGGTTCCTAGGTATGCTTTCTTCTGAAGGCATGATACTTTCACACCATCATCAGATTGAAGGATGAGTCCAGGAGCCCACTGTACCAGCCCCCCTGGGTCTCTGCTGGCCTTAGATACCAGTTAAAGTTTGCTGTAGGGCGGGTGCTAACTAGACAGAGAAGGGATGTGAGAAAGCACCCCTCCCCTGTGGGGGTTGGCTACAGCACAATCCCTTCTCCTCTTCTCGAGATTTTAGGCATGCACACACACATGCCTAGAGTATTTTCAAACTGCCTGGTCTGGCACTCCAACCATGTCAGCGTGTGGAATCCAGCAGCCTTAACCTCCATGCCATCTGTTGGCCCAAGACTTCGCTATTTTAATAGTTTTATAAATGGGACTTGGGAGCCAGCGGGTGGCATGGTGTGGTTAAGGGCGCTGGACTCCTGCAAGGTTGACTGAGGTTCAAGTCCCAGACCTGGCGACTTACTTTCTCACCTTCACTCTGTGTCTCTTGCTTGCTCTGTCCCTCTCTGTCGTCAAATTTAAGTAAATAAATAAATAAAGAGTTAAATAAGTCTAAGAAAAAAAATGGGACTTTAGAGTCCTTTCAGTTTAAATTTCTTAAGTTCTTAGTGAGGACGAAGTTTTTTTTCCCTCCATTTTATTTATTTATTTATTTTACAGTTAAATCAAGGATATTACCATATGTGTGTGTGCGGTTTTTTTTGTTTTTTGTTTTTTTAAAGAGAGATTTTTGCTATAGAGTGTGTGCACTCGCCAGAGAGACAGAAAGTGAGAAATCACCCCCTAGGGCAGATGGTCACACTGCAATCCCTTTTCTTCCATTCTCCTCTCAGGATCTTAGGCACACATGCACAAGTTCCTGGTGTGAGACTTAAGCCTCTGAGACTTGAACCGTGCTCGTCTACATGGGAGTCCAGTGACATAGCCATTGCTCCATTTGCTGGTCCCACCATATATGCAGTTTTCAAGATGAATTTTGCATCCTTGGGTCTGTTGAGTGTTTCTTCCCTTGGCCCCGCCCACTCACCTTCTACCGTACACCCACCTCCCTTACAGACTGGCGTCTTTGCCTACCCTACAGGGCTGAAGTTTTTTTTCTCCCCTAGTGATTTCTCTTATGCTGATGGAAACTATGAACTTTGTCCTTTTATTCATTTGGGTGTTGATGGCAGTCTCAACAGAGGACGGTCATACTGAAATTCCTTTTCTGTGTTTCCATTTTGTTGAGACTTTAGGCATACATGTACATGGCATATTTTTCAAGCCACTGGAGCTGAGATTCAAACTGTGGTTGGCCACATCCTAGGCTACAAGGCTGGCCCTCTTACCAGTCTTTTAAAAAGCTGTTATTGGGCCAGCCCATGGTGTGATGTTACAGTGACTGGTTCCCACCTGGCCAACGGCGCACTTCCTATCCTGGACCCCCGTGGCTTGGAAAAACACGCCGGGCACCTGCGCATCACGCCGTGGTCATCCCCCTGGGGTTCTTTCTCACTTTCCTTTTGTCTGTCTCTTTCTCTGTCTCCTCCCACTCTCTTTCTCAGACAAGCTCATACACACTATAGCAAAAATTAAATAAAAACAAAAACTTGGTATTTTCTTGAGGGAGGAGAGGGAAAGGGACAAGGGTCAACAGCAGGGTCCTCATAACGGGGACCTGACCTGACCGGCCTGGGTCTCAGGCACGTGCATGTTCCCAGTGCTCAGGGAGGCCCTGGGATGCGAAGCAGCACTTTCCTTCATGGTTTAGTTATGTCACAGCTGTGTCACCACTTGGCCCCTCTCTACTAACTTAAATAGGCATTTCTGTGTGGTACATTTTGTGGGTGTTGGCATTCATACAGAAGAGACTGTATCATTTTTGTTTTTAGCTGGTCTTGGCGAATTCCGAATTCGGGACCTGAATGATGAAATAAACAAGCTGCTGAGGGAGAAAGGACACTGGGAGGTCCGGATAAAGGAGCTGGGCGGTCCAGACCATGGGGTGAGTGAACAGCCGCACATGCTCGTGTGCCAGACGCACATGCCTCTCGAGGTGCCAGGTCTGGGATTCAAACTGGGATCAGGTGTGCCTTAGCTACTATGCCTCCATCATGATTGATTGATTGATTTTTAGAAGAGTTTTCCAAGAGGGCACGTGCGCTCACTGGAGACAGAGACACAGAGAGACAGAGAGAGACAGAAAGCTGGAAATCACCCCCCCGGGGGAGTGACCATGCCACAGTCCCTTGTCCTTCATTGTCAGGGTTTGGGACACAGACGCATATGCACCTGGTGTGAGTTTAAGCCGCTGGATCTGGGTCTTGAACCATGGCCAACTACATGGGAGTCCAGCGATGTAACCATTATGACATCTGCTGGCCCCTCCATCGTGATTTAGAAAAACGATGAGTATGCCTGCTTGATTGTCACAGCCTGCTCCTGGGTCTGGCCTGAAAACGAGCGCTGGCCCTCCCCTGAGGAAGGTGTGCTCACGCTCCCACATGCCCATCTGCTGTGGGAGTTGCTGTGTGCTCCCTGAGGTCCTCACTCACCCTCTTCAGCAAGCTCATCACATTATTAATCTGCCTAGAAAAGCAACCACAAATGTGAATAATTTTTTGTGTGTGTGGTTCAAATTTGTATGTATTTTTTTTTTTTTTGGAAAGTTTTTGCTATAGGGCACGAGTGCTCGCCAGAAAGACAGAGAGACAGAAAGCGAGAAATCACGCCCCAGGGGGGATGGCCCTGCTGAAATCCCTTCTCCTCTCAAGATCTTGGGCACACACGCACACGTGCCAGTGTGAATTTAAGCTACCGAGTCCGGGACTTGAACCAAAGTCGACTACAGGGGAGCCCGGCGATGTAGCCATTATGCTAATTGCTGGTTCCAATATGTAAAGTATTCTTACCTTCTACCTAAATTAAAACTATAGATTTTTGTGTTTTTTTCCTCAAGTTATTCTTTTTAGAATTATTTTATTTAACTTTATTTATTTATCTATTTATTTTAATTGTGACCAGAGTGAAAGAGAGAGAGAGAGAGAAAGGGAGAAAGCAAGCTGCCAGATATCCAGGACTCAAACCGCAATTGGCCATTTGTGAACCCAGCACCCTTAATCGCCATGCTACCTGCCGGCCCCCCTAAAGTTTTTTGTTTTAAGAATTATTTTATTAAAAAAAAAAGAATTATTTTATTTAACTATTTATTTATTTGTTTTAATTTAACCAGAGAAGGACGGGAGGTGGGGGTATTAGAAGGCAAACCACCAGGTCTGGGACTAGAACTGCGGTCAGCCATGTGGGTGTCCAGTGCCCTTAATCACCACACCACCTGCCAGTCCCATGTTTTTGCTAAAGTTTTTTTTTTTTTAAGAGATTTTTGCTATGGGGTGTGTGTGCTCGCTGGAGATAGACAGAAAGCAAGAAATCACCCCCCAGGTGGTTAGCACACTGTGGCTTCTCTAGTCTCCAGTCCCTTCTCCTCCAGTCTCCTCCTGGGATTTTGAGCATGTAAGCATATGAGCCTGGTGAGAGTTGTTTTTAAAAGAATTATTTAATTTTGGGACCAGCAGATGGCATGGTGGTTAAGGCACTGGACACTCCCACATGGCAGACTATGGTTGTCCTGGACCTCATGGCTTGCTTTCTCTCTCTCTCTCTTTCTCTCTCTCTCTCTGTGTGTGTGTGTGTGTGTGTGTGTGCTTCTCTCTGGTCAAATTAAAATAAATAAATGAATAAATAAAATTAATAAAAAAAGAGAAAAAAGTACTGTTTACAAATGAATAATTTAATTAATTAATTTATTTTAATTTGACCAGAGAGGGACAGAGCAAGAGAGAGAGGGAAAGTGGGAAAGCAAGCCACCAGGTCTGGGACTCGAACCATGGTTGGCCATGTAGGAGTCCAGTGTCTCCAACCACCACACCACCTGCTGCCTCCCCCACTGTGTTAGTTTTAAGCCACTGAGTCTGGGACTTGAACTGCAGTCTTGAACCGCGGTCAATTACAAGGGAGTCCACGCACGTAATCATTATGCCATCTGCTGGTCCCCTTCCTAAAGTTATTTTTTCCCTCCAGTTATTTTATTTAACTTGAGTTAATTCATTTAAATTTGTCCAGGAAAGAGAGAGAGAAAGAAAGGGAAAAGTGAGAAAGCAAGCCGTCAGGTCCAGAACTTGAACCGTGGTCAGCCCTATGGGAGTCCAGTGCCTCTAGCCACCATGCCACCTACTGGCCTCCCTTTCCTAAAGTTTTTTAATGTTCAACTTAATTTTCATTTTCTACATATGAAACTGATACATTGTGGGGCCAGCAGTGACAGAGGTCGAGGAACGGGATCGTAACGAGGCTGACTGACTGCCGTTGGAATCCTGGGCCCAGCGGCTTAAAAACTGCCGGCTGCACACAAGCGTGTACTCAAAGTCCTGAGGGGGACTGAGGAGAAGCGACTGAGATGTGGCTCTCCCCCAGGGGATGATTTCTCACTTTCTCTCTCCGTCTCTCTCCACAAACACATATTACCTATAGCAAAACTTAAAAAAAGATAGCAAAACTGCTGGGTCATCGGAAAAGTCATGATGTATTTTTCTGTTTTTCTATGCAAAACTGCATCATGACTTTTCCGATGACCACATAATACATACTGTCCAGGTCAGAAAAGTTGAGAGCAGCAGAACGCTGGCTCCTGCTGTCGTGTGTGTGAGTGCTGCCAGGGCGTGCCGCTGCCGCACAGTTTGGTTCTTAGGGTTTGCCTTTCTTTGAAGAATGGCAGGGTTTTGTTATGTAAACAGTTTATACCATTACTGGAAGAGAGGAAAAGTAGATTATGAGAATGATAACATGTAGTCTATAAGATATCATATATATTATATATTTTTTATCCAATAAATAGTTGCTACTAGCATTTTATTTATCTTTCTGAGATTTTTTTTTTGCCTAGGCATATATATACTTTAAAAAATTGGCTCAGAGCCAGCAGATTGCATAGTGGTTACGTCGCTGGACTCCCACATGGTCAGCTGCGGTTTGAGTCCCAAACCCAGTGCCTTGAAACTCATTCCGGGCATGTGTGCGTGCGTGCCCAAGATCCTGGGAGAATTGTGGTGTGGCCACCCCCCTGGGGAGCGATTTCTCACTTTACTGCTCACTGTCTCTGTCTCTCTCTTTCCGGCGAATGGATGTACCCTAAGGCAAAAACTTCTACAAAATAAATTGAAGTTTGTTTCTTCCATGACAGACGAGATGAGGAGACAGGCGCCACTGCCAGAGAGGCTCATGTTGGGGTCCACACCGGCCTTGGCCGGTCCCAGCCGGTCCCTGTCGGTTCCTGTCATCGCCCATTGGCACCCATGTGTTCACCCAGGTCTCCGAACATGAGCCCAGGACTTTCCTGTGTGGGTCCCATCGTGGGTCCCCGCCTGGCCTTTCGGGTGGTTTTTATCTTGTTTTCGCTATAGGGCAAGCATACTCACCAGAGGGGGAAAGTGAGGAATCACTCCCTGGAGGGATGGCCATGCTGCAGTCCCTTCTCCAGTCCCCTCGGGATTTTGGTCATGCAGGCACACACGCCTAGGGTGGTTTCAAGCCTCTGGGTCCGGACAGCAACTGGAGCTGGCCTTGTGGGATCCGGCCACCTTAACCTCCGTGCCATGTGCTTGGTTCCTTAGGTTGGTTTTTAAGGGATACATGTTTTCTGTGTGCATACAATGTGTTTTCCACACTGAGTAATGTTACTAAAAAATATATTTGCAAGCATGGAAATCTGATTCATTTTATGTTTTCCTTCCAATAAGAAAGTTGGCCCTAAAATGTTGGATCACGAAGGGAGAGAAGTCCCCGGAAACCGAGGCTACAAGTACTTCGGTGCCGCCAAAGACTTGCCGGGTGTCCGCGAGCTGTTCGAGAAAGAGCGTGAGTCATTAACATCTGTAAGGTTGTCGCTACCTTTTTTTTTTTAGAGAGAGATTTTTTGCTATAGAGTGCAAGTGTTTGCCAGAGACAGAAAGCAAGAAGTCACCCCTGAGGGGATGGCCATGCTGCAATCCCTTCTCTTCCATTCTCTCAGGATCTTGGGCATGCACTCACATGTGCCTGGCCTGAGTATTTTTTTTTTTAGAGAGAGATTTTTTGCTATAGAGTGCAAGTGTTTGCCAGAGACAGAAAGCAAGAAATCACCCCCCTGAGGGGGGGATGGCTATGCTGCACATGTGCCCAGCATGAGTTTAAGCCTTCAGGTCTGAGACTCAAACTGCGGTCGACTGTGTGGGAGTCCAGCGACAGCCATTGCACCAACTGCTTGTCCCCCTGGCATGAGTTTTAAAGCCACCAGGTGTGGGACTCAAACTGCGGTCGACTGTGTGGGACTGCAGCAGCGTAACCATCATGCCATCTGCTGGTCCCACGGTTGTCACTGTCACTACTGGTAGAGCCACAAGTGCAGATGACCATGTACAGCTGCCCTCCCGCGCCCTTTCTTGGCTGCACAGTGGCCATGCAGCGTAGGACTTGTTCCCATGGTGTGTGTGGTTTTTAGTTAGAAAGCGAGAAATCCCCCCCCAGGGTGGATGGCCACGCCACAATCCCTTCTCCTCCATTCTCCTCTTGGGATCTTGAGCACGCACACACACATGCCCAGCATGAGTTTAAGCCACCGGGTCTGGGACACGAACCACGGTCAACTACATGGGAGTCCAACGACATAGCTATTATGCTAACTGCTGGTCCCGTGGTTTTTAGTTTTTAAAAAATTTTCTTTAGGGTGTGTGTGCTTGCCAGAGACAGAGAAACTGAGAAAGCACACCCCAGGGGGCTGCCACACTACAGTCCCTTCTCCATTTTCCTCTTAGCATTTGGGCACACACACACACACGCACACACACACAGAGCAAAGTTTTCACGCCCCTAGAGTTGGCCATGTGGGATCTATCCCCCTTAACCACCATGCCGCTTAGCTGGCCCCCATGAGTTTGAAGGGTTATTTACCTCTTCCATGAGTGAGAGTTGTAGATCACTGTTCTTAAAGCTTTATGAGCTTGTGTTTGTTTTGGGTTTTAAATTAGGATAGATTCCTCTTAAGCAGACTGGTTAGGTGAAAGCACTGGCTTTAGAAAGGGTTTTCCCGCTTAGCAAGTCCACAGTGTGGAGAGGTGCCTGCTGCCGGCGTTGTGCTGGCCACAAAGCATTGCTGAGGCTAAGGCTGGGAGCTCAGCCAAGCTGCTGTCGTCCCTCACAGCACTTCCCCCTCCCCGAAAGACCCGCGCCGAGCTCATGAAAGCTGTCGACTTCGAGTACTACGGTTACCTGGATGAGGACGACGGTGTCATTGTGCCTTTGGAGCAGGAGTATGAGAGGAGATGTAAGTGTGCGTTTCACTTCACTGCCAAGGGCGTCTGGCCTCTGGTCTGTCCTTGGAAACAGTTTTCTATAGATGGGTTCTTCAAGAAATTCACAGAAAATGTGTCTTAAAACTATGCAGGGCTGCCAGGTGGTATGCTTGTTGGGTGCGCTAGACTCCCACGTGACCGACCATGGTTCAAGTCCTGGACCTGATGGCTTGCTTTCTCACTCTCCATCTCTCTCTCACTCTGTCCCTCTCTGCTTAAACTAAACTAAATTAAATTAAATTAAAATAACTCTTAAAAAAAAAAGACAAAAAGAAAACTATGCATGGATTTCAAAATAATTTGCACCAAAATAAATTTGTACTTTCAACCTACCTTTTCACAGACTTTTAGAAGTTTTCATAGTGTTTCATGCCAAAGACTGCTTTCTTTACCAGCAGTCCTCAAGTGGTGTCTGCCGAGGCACACCCGTGAGTGAGGCAGTGCTGCAGGGTTGCAGCAGGAGCACAGCTGCCGAGGCACACCCCATGAGGCAGGGCTGCAGGATTGCAGCAGGAGCAGCAGCCGGTGAGCCCAGAGCTGCCTCTGCCCAGGAGCCCGTGCGTCAGGAGGTCATTGTCTGGATTCACCCAGGTTGGCCTTTCTTGAGCTTGGGACACGGTGCCCACTTCAGCAGCACTCGGTCTGCTCTGTCCCCGATGTGGAGCAAGATGGAGCTGTCTGAGCGCCGTGTCCCTGATTAGCACCTTCTAGGCTCACAGACCTTCTTCCAGAGCCTGAACAGTGTCCTGAGGAGCGCTGCTGCTGGCTCTCACGGGCACGACACGGGCTGGGGCCTGGAAAGCGGGTGGCTTGAACCCAGCTCCCCGACACGCTGTGTCCCTGCAGGGCCTCTGGCCATAGGCGCACAGTGCCAGCCCGAGACCATGGGCCCTGTCCTGACAGCGCCTGAGGGACTTGAGCCAGAGCTGTTGTAGGGCCAGGCTACCCCACATCCTTTCCCTGCCCACCAGGGCAGAGCACAGGCTGTGTCTAGGATGAGGTGCTCCAGGCTTCGTTAGAGACGAGAGCAAATAACACCTGCTCTCCTCTCTGTCAGTCAGAGCTGAGTTAGTGGAGAAGTGGAAAGCGGAGAGAGAGGCCCGGCTGGCGAGAGGAGAGAAGGAGGAGGAGGAGGAGGAGGAGGAGGAGGTCAACATCTACGCCGTCACCGAGGAGGAGGTACTGTGGTCGGCACCCTCTGGGCTTGCTGCTCCTTGGCTGAGCCAGGGGTGTGGGAAATCCTTGGCTTGGAGCCCGGCTTGCTCACCTGCAGGTTGGCTGTGGGTCCTGGGAGGGTTCGGGAAAGGAGCGGCAGTTGTGAGCATGCTCGGCCAGCTGTGTTGCCCCCACCCCCGTCACCTGCTCCTGGAGAGGCCCTTAGGGAGGTGCACGTGGGTGTCTGAGTGGTGCCAGCCCACGACCTCATTGTGTTTCTCAGGTGGCATTGCAGGGGCCACTGACCCTGCTCTGGTTATGGGTGGAAACAGGTCCAGCACTGAAAGGGTGTTCCTTGGCATGGTGGGGTTGGGGCTGGGTCCTCTGTGCCTGGGCTGAGTGTCCAGGCCCTTGTGAGGCTCTTGTAGGCCTCATGTGGAGGTCTTGCTGCACAGGCAGGTCCAGAGCAGAGCTGACTGGCCAGTTTGGAGTGGGGGCTCACCCAACACAGGCTGGGGTGGTCCTCTGTGAGGAACTTCGGTGACCTCGCTGGTGAGGGAGCAGGCCCAGGGGGCTTAGTCGGGTCACAGAGCACAGACCTGAGGCAGGCGCAGGTCTGGCTGGCTGGCGGTAGGGCTGAGCGGGGCTGAGGAGTCTCAGGGCAGGTACTTGTCGCCCCGTTCTGACAATGGCTGCTGTGGTCTAAGCCTGGGGCACAGAGTCCAGTAAGGAGAGACAGGCCCACAGCTCCCGGGTAGCAGCTGGTACAGCAGCTGTGACAGTTCTGCTGGGAATGGACCCTCAGCCGACATAGGATGAAGGGGGTGGACAGAAGGGGAGGACGCTCCGGGCGGGAGCAGCATGTGTAGGACACCCTGAGGTGAGACAGGACAGACAGCCAGCAGGGTGTGGGTGCCACTCTGAGCAGAGGGTGAGGGGGGAGCGCCCCTACAGGTCTCTTCCTTTATCCTAAGAGCAGCGGAAAGCCACAGGAAGGCTTTCCCCCTTTTCTTCTTTGAGGTGATTACAATTTACAGGAAATTGCGGAGTGCAGAAGGCTGGTGCACGGCTCTCCCAGTGGCCATGTCCCTGTTGGGTACAGCCACAACGTGGGGTGTGGGCGGCACGTGAGCTGGCCGAGCTGTCTTTCGTCACTGCCTCTGTGGCCCAGACCCAGAGCTGCTGCCTGTGAGCTCACGCAGCCCCCACTGTCATCCGCTCCCCATCTCTGATTCTTTTTTTTTTTTTTTATTCCATTTCTTGTTTTCTCTATGTTTTGCTTTTTTTTCCCCCATCCTTGATTCCCTATCTCTTACCCTCTGCCATCTCCCACTCTCCTCCCTCACTGTCTCTGGTATCTATGTTTGCTTTCTATACTGTTTTCCCCCCACATTTTATTGAATCACCAAAGACCCTAATCAATCCAAATACCCTCATAGCAAACACAGGTGACACACACATTTCCATGAACACAAGTCTAACTTTACGCATCCTATAAAGTAGCACCTAGCTGGGGCTACATATCCTACTGCAGTCATTGACTAGATATATATTTTTTTTCCCCCTGATTCCCTATCTCTTACCCTCTGCCATCTCCCACTCTCCTCCCTCACTGTCTCTGGTATCTATGTTTGCTTTCTATACTATACT